GTGGACAGAGCGACGTGCATCTTTGACATCAAAATTTCCGGATTTTGTGCTACTCTCACAGACATTGCACTAGGTCCATAAACATTGCAAATTTTTTCCGAGGCTTGCGTTGCATTTTTATCTTATTTGTCGTAAAATTTTAAAGTGTATCGAATTTCTTCATTAGATTCACTCACTCATCTTGACAGTACAAAAAATAAATAAAAATCACACATTTTCCTAACTTGATTTTGGAATTATCTTCTTTAAAATTTACACTTTTAATGATACCAAAACTAGCCAGATACAAATAGTATAGTCAAAGAGATTTTATTACAAGTTTATACATACATATAATGCGAAAAGACTTTTCCCCAACCTATTACATATGCTCCTAATTTCCAAAATATTAAGTGTACAATAACTAACACGAAGAGTGATGATGACGCGCGCCATGTAACTATCTACGCATTTCGCGATTTACCGTCATCAACGAAACGTCATAAGCCTCGTTAAAAGCAATTGATATTTTTAGCCAATCTTTGTACGGACAGAAGCCGGAGTGAGTAGTGCCTTAAACTAAATCTTTATAGAAGCTGATTAACCAAGAATTCCTTTGGTACTAAGTAGGTACTGTTCATTATCGTTAACGTCATTTTGATTTGACAAAACATTAAGTTTTAATTTTATTTATCATCAATAAGCACTTAATTGAAGATACGAACACATAGATCGTGTTCAAATCTTTATTTCCGACCATACATTTTTATGCAGTAAAAACAAAGAAATTATTTTACGTACATATTTCATTCCGATATATTGTTTCACAAATTTCGAATATGATTATTCGCCCAAAAACCGAAATTCGATCATAATCACATTGACACATCAAAATTTAAGTTCATATTCAGTATTTATTTATATAATTTATATAATATTTTTTTCTTTTGTTAAAAAACTGACTATTTTCAAATACTTAAATTGATAACACTAAAACTCCTCCATGGCTAGAAATAGAGAACGGAGTGGATACTTCACTACGAGTATTATGTCGCTCTGTACCTATATATAGATGACGTAATGTCTAGAAATCAATGATTGAAAGGTTAAATGATCTAATAATACCTAATGTAGTGTCTCATTTACATCATCTGTTGACAACATTTTTAAAGTTATACGAATTTTTTCTATTACGAGTTTTTTTATGCACATCGATAAGTTTCTTGTTGCTGATAATATGATAATATTGGCTAAATAGAAAGTTAGTGTTGCAGGTTTTTTATTGTGGAGATTCAATTCAATCCAAAATTTCTGGATGCAAATTTTCATTTTACTGCAAAATGATGTTTGTCATCTTGACGCTTTCAACGCGTTTTTTGATGAATATACAAGATCACGTAAGAAACACGTAAATCTGTATTATTTGCTAATTAATTTATGTATCCTAGAGCAATCACTGGACAATTTTACCAGTTAACGTTAAGCCTACCCTACGAATTGTGTTGGAATAACGTCTGACCTTCGCTTCGATTTCAAATGCACAATTCCTCGCTTGCTTAGGATACGGGCAGGCACACGCCCTATTTATTACTGTATAAATTTGTTTCATATTAGCATTGAAAACATTAGGTAAATATAAAGATAATCTCTAAGCGAATTACGCGTTTGCGAGATCAGTTACGTAGAGATGATTTGCCGAGTAAGGCCTGTATTGTTGGTTTTTCGTCTTAAGAGACGCGCTGAAAAGAAGAAAGCTTATCAAAACACTATAATAAGTAGTGTTCGTCGAATGATCGAAATTCGACCATAATCTGATTCCTCAAGATATAGATTCACTTTATGTATTATCTATTCAGATTTTCTTTTTTGTTTTACTATTGACACACTTTTCGCGAAAGAAAAAACGCTTTCAATATTAACTGTTAATTTACTAAACACGTTAATAGCTACTCAAAAAAAATATTGGTTGAAAAATCTGTTTGTCGGAGAAGATGTACCAAACTTTTTTTTAGCGTTTTAGAGTTCCACGTGAAATAAATTTATTTCGTAATTTCTATTGACTAAAAATTATAACTTTACTGTTGTCTACATTCTAGAAATATTATTCAATTAGTTTATGTTTGTTTAATTGATGTTTTCATGGGAGATGGCAAACGCATTCACCATATACAATCTATTTAATCTGTATATTATATATAAAATTAATTTGAAAACTAGTTTTTTTTTATTACTTAGATGGATGGATGAGTTCACAGCCCACCTGGTGCTATGTGGTTACTGAAGCCCATAGACATCTACAACGTAAATGCGCCACCCACCTTGAGATATAAGTTCTAAGATCTCAGTATAGTTACAACGGCTGCCTCACCCTTCAAACCGAAACGCATTACTGCTTCACGGCAGAAATAGGCGGGGCTGTGGTACCTACCCGCGTGGACTCATAAGAGGTCCTACCACCAGTAAATAAAAATAATAAAAATGTTGAGAAAAATAATTGTAGGTAAAATAAAAATGATACGATAAAAAAGTTTTATATGAGCTAACAGCTGAAGTTATGGTTTATTATTAAAGTACTATATTTTTATTCTGGTAAACTTCGTACCCAATTGACATCTTAGAAGCAGCATTGAACGATGTCAGGTAAATACACTGCAAAAAGAGTATCAATCGGGAGTTATCTCGAAAGCACTCCGCATTACGTACATACATGATGTGACTTTCGTAAATACGTTCTTTGAACCCGAGATCCATCTCCCGCTTTGAGCCGTTAAGTAAATGTTCAACGTGGGAAGTTCCTTATTCTAAGGTAGTTAGTTGTGACGGCACCGGAGCTAGTCAACAATTTATTTCATACCGGGACTCGGGAGGGGAAATATGCACGATTGAAAACATTTATGTACACTCTAGTGTTCGCTAAACAATGGAAAATCAATTATAATTTCTGAAACTTAAAGTTTTTTTTAGTGTTCTTTTCTTTTGTGTTTGTATTACATTTATTATTTTATTTTGAAAAAAAAAAAACATACATAAAGACTTTTTTAAATACTACCTTTATGCTTGTATAGCCATAGATAATTACTTTAACAAGAACAAAAAAAATAGAATCTCGGTTGACAAACAAAGGGGAAAATGATATTTAAATAATTTTTTTTAATATCATGTTATTTTATCCGTCATATTTTTATTGACTTGATAGAAAATGATAAAGTTCGTCTTTATTTATTTATGTAGTTATAGTTACTAAAAAACCGAAAAAAAAACGCTATAGGAAATGGAGAGAGCATGATACGGAACTATTTTGTATTATAGTTTAGAAATAAATAAATAAATAAATTAATATTTTGTGGCGTATATTTTTATAGAATTTGTACCGACTTAACGTAAATGAGATTTGACCGTAGAGCAGAGTTTTTAATTTATTTTATACCGTATAATAAAACATAGATTAATATAAAAAAAAAAGTTCCTAAGCATGTAATGAAACATGCGTACGCTCATTTTAATTGCAACATCAATCACGTAACGATCGAAATGAATCATCGTTGAAAAATAAGCATTATCTATTTAAAACGTCGTACATTAATTAATTATAAATACATTGATTGAACATCTCTCTCCGAGCTAAATAAGTTAATGGTATTTTTTTAAAAGCGAAAAAAAAAATAGATGAATCAAAATTATGAAGTGAGGCGCTGAAGGTGTACAAAGCGTAGGTACCTATATTTAGATGATTATCTAAAATCATGCACGTAATTGCTTCTGACCTTGGCAAAGGCAAGATGTGGAACAAGCGATGTGAGCTCAGTGGTGCACGTCGACTGCACATTGTCATTATTAAATTAAAGCAACATGACTTCTCGTTTGTTCTCTGTAGCGTGAGAAAAAACGCAAACCTCTTTCTAATATATTAAAAATCTTCTTCGACGTTTTACATTGATCCCTCTTATCGTTCAGTTCAGTAAATAAAAACACATCTAATTAATATTCAATTCATTAGTGAAAATTTAATGTAGAACATAAACAATAACTGTGTACACAAGATTGTGGCGAAGTTCCACAAATAAATAAAAGCATAAAATACGATACCAATGAATCACGTGTCTATCGGAACATTATCTGTCAGAAACTTTTTACATTTATTGACATAATTGAACTCGCCCGTACGGTGTCAATTGTTTCCGAAGACCAAAGCCGTCACAGCCGGAATTTAAGTGTATAATCTATGGCCGGAATGGTGCTCGCATTCAAAAACATAGCTGAAATTTTAATTATTCCGTCGTAAAAATGGCTCACTCACCCTTCAAACCGAAACGCATGAATGCTCCGCGAAACTTACAAACACATCCATGTATTTTAACGTTTAGTTATTTCAAACAGAAGCCGCACATGTTGTAACGATAAGATAAAAGTATTTTCTCCTGTAGACAGTATAAAGGCTACGCGGTACAGATTCTCGATTCATTCAAGATCAAGGACGTTCTCGTTCTACAAGCGTAATGTTTACTCGTGTTTTAATGGAAAAAGATAATTTCCATGTGAATTTTTTCACAACAGATGTTTTTCTCAAGCTGATACTATATTTATCGCACCACAACGGGCTCACGAATCAAATCGGCATTGAATAGTGTACATTTTTTTTTGTTTTTGGAAATTCCAAACCTTTGACTTTTATTTATACATATACACACGTTCAACATTCGATTTATTGAAGGTGGTACAAGGAAGCTCGTTCTTATAAAGTAATTAAATTCGTTGCATTCGCAAATTATTAAATTTTAGCATTCGCATTCGTTTGAGAATAAGAGAAGTCTATCATGACTAATATAATTGTTGTCGTCCCCTCATTCACGCGGAAAACAGCGTAGCGCTGTTTATTAATAGATTTAAGGTGAAGGTGATTTTGCAAGGTTATAATTTAAAACGCATTGCCAATTTGATTTTTAATGCAGTAAATATTCAAACTGATACTTTGTTCGTTATCCATATGCTCACAATTCAATAAATTCGTTCTTTATTTTCAGATCTCACTTGTGTCAAAGTGTTTTAATACGGACATTAAAATAAACTAGTTCGCATCAAAATGGACACCAACACATAAGTTGCGAGTGAGAGTTTTGAAGTTTTAAGACTTTGAGCACAGCAACAATGCTGTCCTACATCGTGCCGGTGGATCAGAAGCCTCCGCCAGTTCCTGGAAAGGGCCGAATGGCACTCGAACTGGTCGGGAGCCCCGGCAGTCCCGAGTCAGCAGCCAGGAGGGCCAGGACTAATATATCCAAAGAATCGTCCACTAGCTCCTTCACGAGCGATCTCACCATATCCTCATCGACTCCTACTGGAGTTTTTGACAAACCAAAGCACAAGCTGCTGAGCAATGGTACCAAACATACATCGTTGAAAAGGTGAGTGATTCAATATTGAACTAAAACGTACCATGCGGGGCGGCACGCTTTGATGGCGGTACCAACTTTGTTTGTAACGAAATTACCTTGTAACATTTGTAATAATACAGTATACCCGAATTTCACGAGCAGTAAAATGATCATAACGCGACAATTTATTCTGAAAGCCGTTTATTTTTAGTACCCTGCAACAAAGTGCATGTGAAAATTATGAATTATTTCAAAGAAACCGTTTTAATTTTGTTTGAAATACAGTGGTGCTCTTTAACATTTCTACAATGAAATTAAATTATATTCTTTATTTTTAACACAGTAAATTACATTTATGAAAACCATATAAATACTCGTAGCATTGACTTACCGCCATGTTGGTTCTTAATATCATTATAATATATATATTTTATTACATTATATTATATGAAAATATATTTATATAATCACATATGCAATTTTTGTGATGAGATTATTTGGACGCAATTATTGTTTCTGCTACTGTAATTAATATATAATGATTTTCAAAATAATTTTATACCAATGAGCCGTACTATGACCGTGTACTATAGGCCTAAATGGTAAATGACTTGAACATATTGCATAAAGCCTATTTCTGACTGCCTCTAAACAAATAGGTACATACATATTTTATTATTGCAAATCTTTAAATCATAGAGAAGCAAGCATAATATGATTATAAATTTTAGAAGCCCAATTATGTTGATTCGAGGTCAAAATATTGGCTACGAAGGAAATGCTCAATGAACTAGTTAAGTACGGCGAGAACGTGTCGAGAGTATTTCGGAGCGACACTGCAGCGTGCCTCCGATCGATACATGCATGCATCATGAGAGTTTCAAGTGGAACAAATAGGCTTGCGCTAGCCGCTGTCCGGGCCCTTGAATATAATTAGAGACAAACAACGTTTTAATAGGTCACGATAATTATCTACTCGCTATAGTCACTATGCTCTGTGTCTTCGTCAGATTAATAATTCAAACGAAGCAGAATTTGTAAAATTTATTAACGAACTTCGAGAAATTTAAAAGGTAGGTTTTGTGATTTTTTTTCACTTTGAAACGTAGTCCTTATTGTCCCAGGCGTCGGGCAACCTCACTGGTATTTTCGATAACCATGACGTATAGATTTCTAGTTTGCACTCCGGCCTGAAATGAAGCGTATAAGTGTGTTATTAAAACGTCGTGACGTGGCTTAAATTTTCATCGCCGTGATGCACGCTCGTGCACGGTCGGTGCATGTTTGCGGAAAGGACGTCCAATTCAGCGGGGTTCGCTCGCGAAAAGGAAAGCCTCCTTCAAAACGAACCTTGCATAATATCGTCTTTTCATACGTCTGAACTACTTTCTCATCACTCGTTTATTGCGTGGAGCCTTTCACGTTGATTGCAACTTCGCTTCAGTGAAACGTTTTTGAAATATTATGGAGTACAGATTCCAGTGAACATTAACATTTTTAAATATTGTAAAATGGTAAATTAAAAAGCTTTCGTTTAATCTGATGTTCATACCACGATATACATAGATACCTAAAATGAATATAAAAGAAATGTTGAATAATACGTCCTACGTAAAAAGAAAGTAATTATTTTGTATTCCTATCAAAACGTAAACATATCCCAACCGGATGTTTCATTAACTATAGTAAAGCCAGCAACCGGATGAAAATCGATTATAAGCTTATAGTTGATTCGCACAGCCCTGTAGAAAAAAAAACCCTATCCTTGCGTACAATAATTACCAGATTTGCTAATATCCTCGCTGTCAAGTATATGGCCCATCGGCACTCACCAATGCTCATAGATACCAGCAGTACCAGGGGCACAGATCGCTACCTGACTGAGCACACTCCTCGTACCAAGTTCGAAAAAGAATATGCTTAACTTTAGAGAATCCTTAGAAGGAGGTTCATTCCATGCGGAATTGAGGAGAAAAAAATATTAAAATGACACCTTTAACCTGATCAGTGTGCTTAGTGCGAGTTTCTTAACGTTCTCGATAGCGTAAAAGTTAAGCCATTTTCGTATGCAGTTGGAACAGCGCCCCTAGCGACAAACGTACGCAAACGATCCCACTCCATACAAATATGAGCTAACTTTTACGCTATCGAGTACGTTAAAAAACTCGCATTAAGCACACAGGATTTTAGTGTTGACCTTTTATATACCATTATGAAATGATTACGGTTTTTATACGATAAAGAATTTTATTTTTAAAGGAACTTTCATCGATCTATCCATTTAGCGCTATTTTAGGTTTTCGTTACTATACTAATAATTATTTTCTATAAAAAAAGGTCCTTTGAAATTTGTGCCTAACTTATTAAAAATTGATATTGTTAACGTAAATTCAAAAATGCTATTATTGATTCAGGTTTTCATAATATTTTTAACAACTGGCTTATCTTTCAATACTTGGGGCGCAGTAAATTCGTAGGTATTCATTGAAATATTGAGTAGAAGGAAGAAAAAAAATTATTACCGAAAAAATTAGTAATTGAAAAACACTTTTGCGATTTTACTATTTGTTTAATTTAAGTTATAACTTTTTCTTATTAAATTTCTCAAGAAAAAAAAACAGTTTTTAAATTTTAAAACCAAAGTACGTCTACTTAAGCTTTATGTCAGGGATTGGTGGAAAACACGCAAATACAGTACCCCGAATCTTTCGCTTGCTTCCACACTGAATCGCGATTCAAGCACTACTCGAACAGAGAGAAATTCAATTCACAATTATCATGGATTTCATTTAAGATTCAAATATTATAATAAAACATTTGAGAATTTAGATTTTATTAGCATTTGTTTTACCAAGTTTTGTCTAAAATAAAAACATGCTTTGAAACCTCATCATTATTTAACCACCATTTATTTATTTATTTGTAGCCTCTATATATTGTAAACTGAAAAGTTTGTTCACATCCTGTTTTCAGCTACCATGCCATGTATAATAGTTTATTTTCATTATTTATTATTTATTATATACGGTAGGCGGCGGCTTGGCTCTGTCCCTGGCATTGCTGACGGCCACGGACGACGGTAACCACTCACCATCAGGTGGTCCGTATGATCGTCTGCCTACAAAGGCAATAAAAATACCTGCTTGGTGCCTGGTGATCGTGACACCAAGTTTTTTTATACCAGAGTAACACAATTACACATGTCTAAAAACTGTTGAACTATCAAAATATCACTAATTTCTTGCACACCACACTGTAGTGGAATTGACTATTAATTAGATTTTATTGTTTACCCGTATTGTTACAATTTAATGGATAAAAAATATATATACCTACTCCCCTTTACTGTTTATAAATGCAACACCTCGTATGCTAAGTTGTTAAGGCTACAACAATACATGGTAAAGAAATCGAAAAACATAAATACATCCTACACTTGGAAAACGTCACACCCCTCTCGGGTAGAAGGCTAAAAAGCTATTCTTAGAATCAGATAGGGATATCGTTAATCATATAACGTACTTAGTAGCGAGCCAGCCGATGAGTCCGGTAGTCGTGACGGGGACCGGCTTGAGTGCCTTGGTGGTTTCCGTCTCTTTGACCTGCGCCAGGGTCGAAGCGGCCTCGCGACGGATGGCGTCCGCCTCCGCTAACGTTTGTCTAAAAGCACAAATTACACTTTGACTTTCCATTCAAGGTCACGGTGTGATCGATATCAGATAGGTACTCATTTAAAAGCTGACGTTTTATGTGCTCGTCGTTTCGAAGCAAAATAATTAGGTAATTTTTCTTGGACAGTGAAAATTTAATTCTATAAAGAGTTTTAGTTGTTACTAGCTGACCCGACAGACTTCGTAGTGCCTCAATCGATAAATAAAAGACCTAAACTTTTGTATAAAATAAACAAAAGGAATCCGTCCGACGGGGGACATATCAAAGGAAAAACAAAATTGTTATTTTTATTTAATTCCGAGCATTTTCAAATTTATTTACCTTTTAAACCTTCTCTGGACTTCCACAAATTATTCAAGACCATAATTAGCCAAATCGGTCCAGCCGTTCTCGAGTTTTAGCGAGACTAACGAACAGCCATTCATTTTTATATTTAGTTGTTATTAAATAATCGAAAGAGTTAGGATTTCGAAATTCGTGTATGTCCTTCTTTAGAAGAGGCTTGTGGAGAGTATTAAGCGGTATGCAGCGGCTTGGCTCTGCCCCTGGCATTGCTGAAGTCCATGGGCGACGGTAACCACTCACCATCAGGTGGGCCGTACGCCCGTCTGCCTACAAGGGAAATAAAAAAGTAAAAAAATCGCAACCAAATTTGTTACGTAATAGTGAATTGAACGTTTATTCTCATGATTTAATACGGTTGTAGAGATCGTTCGTGGACTAGGAACAATCCTGTTTGACATTGGTTTCGCACGAATACTTCATGTTCATGATCTTTTTGATTTCCGTAACGAATGCCTTTACACTTTGAAGTAGCTGCAGAGCAGTACAAGTAGTCAGCTGGCCCAACTCCAAAAACGCACGCAATATCGAAAACTGCTATCCAATATAAAGCAGCCGTTTATTACATTACTAGCGACCCGACCTCGCTTCGCTTCGAAAACTGTGATTTGTTATTGATTTCTCCACCAATTAATTTCAATCCTCTTCAATCACTCTATCTATTAAAAAAAACCCCATCAAAATCCGTTGCGTAGTTTTAAAGATTTAAGCATATATAGGGACAGAGGAAGCGACTTTGTTTTATACTATGTAGAGATATACATAAAACTTCATGCGTGGCTTTTCTGTGGTATTATTACAATTTCGATTACTTATAATATCATTGAAATGTAATAAGATACCGACATAATGTAATAAATTATTGTTTAATATGTAAAAAACAATTAGTTTGTACCTATAGCTAGTATAAAAACAATGTGTGGAAATCAGAACAGCCGAAGAAGCAAAAAGGATCGGTAATGTAAATCTTACCATTATCTGATTGAAATACTTTTCCACTACTTTTCACGTATATACATATATGCTCTATTTACCTAATCTTCGTTTAAATATATATTATGTAATAGTGATCGGACGACACCTAGATTTGATGTTTAAACAAAACATTCGAAATTCTAAAACTGTTCCTAATATTACAGTATTTAGGTATGTACCTTTTCAATATACATATTTTGTATTGTAATGTACCTTTTCAATATACTAATTTTACAATTATAATTGATAAAATGTATATTTTAAGATCGCACGAATCGTAATCACCAACTACACATATATTTTTGCAGCACACTATTGAGACTTCGAACTGATGTCTCAAGGTAGGTAGTGAGATTCACAGGTGATGTCTATAGGCTCTGAAAACCAATTGAAATCAGGTACGCCATGAGCTCGATATAAAGATTTGAAAAAATATCCTTTTTGTAATAACTTGTAGTCCCCCATTAGTCGAAATTTTACTATAATTACTTGAAATTATAAGTTTTAATATTATTATGGTTCTATTTTCAAAGACTATTATAATTCTATAGTCACAGATTTAGCCAAGACTACACTATAGACAAATAGTATTTCAAGACATACATCTATCTATTATATCTCTAATATTATATTAATCTATTCTCAATTTGACCACAGACTTTAAGCAATAAGAAAGGTTTGACAATAAACAAATAGTTTGCATGCGTGTGTGTCAAATACATGGTAGTGTGTGTAATGTTTTTATTTATTGATTTAATGTATTGTTTATGCAAAGAATATTAACATTCTCCACTCCTTCTCTATATTCTCTATAAGTGTGGGAAATTTCATACTCCTCCGTCCGCGCAATTTTCGAAAAAAAAAAAGAGTACAATGTTTTTTGCTTCACGTATATATTATATAGATAATTAGTAAGAGATGTTATTTTTTTGGACTAATTAAGAGTCAGAATACGCATATAGTTTTACTTATTTATATCTACATATTATCCATACATCTAATTATTGACGAGAACAAAAAAATTTGCTTTGTAAACTTGCACTTGTAAACAGGGCGGATTACGTAAATATCTAGTTTTAATTAATTTCTTTCGCAGTCGCGTATGGGCACTCGGCGTAGACATAATTATTGCGTTGGTTACAAATAACATTTTATATACAATAACATTTAATAACATTTTATAAATAATTTAATCAGGCTATAGAAAAACAGTTTCGTAATCCGAGTATGGTATATCGGTGCGAAAATTCAATCAAGCAAAGAGAAATGCTTGGGTACATGGAAAGATGAGACGACATCGTGTGAACGCTTTCTAAGGTCAATTTAATGCAAGTTTTAATAAAATAGATTAGGATTTAAAAGTTATATAATACGGTATTTTACTATTTTTATGCATGTTTCTCGCCTAATTGATATCACTGTTAAAGTATACTTTACTTAATAAGACCGAAAACAAACGTTTGAAGTATGTATTATACATATATGAATGTTTTCAATACAAAAAAAGGCAATAGATAGGCATAGAAACATTTTCGCGACTTTCAATTGTGTTGTAATGCATTAAAAAACGATTGTACGCTACATAAAATAATAATAAATGGATGTCAAAAATATTACTCATATTATCGTGATTCTCGTGGTACTTTAATTTCTTCTTTCTCTTCTAATCTTTCTAGAATGTCCCGTTAAATGCTTATCAAACAAGACCACAACAAGATTAAAAATTTCAATTGTGTTTACCGACATAATTACTTCTACACCATTTTCCAATTGCTGAAAATTAACAATATGATATTGTAGGTAGTAGATATATTTATCTTACTTTCTTTCGTCCAATAACCAGCTCCATCTTTCAAACCAAAGGGCCCGACAATTGTCAACCTTTTTCCACTGCGCTCGCATCTGGAACGCTTCGGTGTTCGGATCGAATTTTGATGCTTTTGGTTCCTTAGCCATATCTTCGAATAAAACAATATGTAAAATATACTCGTATATGTAATTTATTTATTTATTTATGATTGCTTAGATGTGTGGATGTGTGGTGTTAAGTGGTTACTGGAGCCCATAGATATCTACAACGTAAGTGCACCACCCACCTTGAGATAAGTTCTAAAGTTTCAAGTATAGTTACAACGGCTGCCCCACCCTTCAAACTGAAACGCATTACTGCTTCACGGCAGAAATAGACAGGGTGGTGGTACCTACCAGCGCGGACTCACAAGAGGTCCTACCACCAGTAAAAAATTGCAGGTCCGTAATTTTCGCATTTCTAATATTTTTTACTCTCATTACCCAAATTATACAAGATTATTTTTTTCATTGATGGAGTAATTCAACGCTGAAATTGGTAATAGTCCGTAATCGACATTGGAAGCAGATACTGCTGACATTACTATTGTTGCGTCCGAGCAATTGTTTCCTCTGCCCCGAAAACTTTATTAGAGCAATTCGGTCTTGTGTTCCTTACGTAATTCTATGAGAGCCAGAATGTACGGGAATGCTAGAATTTAATGTCTGTTATATGTAGTAAAGTGGGACAGACGTTAGAGCGAATGTTAAGTAGTTTCCTGCCAGATACGGGCCGTGTTCAGTATAAAAGTTTACGTGATTGCTTTGCACTTACCTTAGAGAGACTTTAGTCGGTCGATTAGAAAGTTATCCAAATTGTATTGTGGATGGTGTTCTAATACTTTCGTTTGGTAGTCGCAATATTGTTATTGTAAGTACAAAGCCAGCGAGTGAGAACTTGTCGATGAAAAATAATTTATAAAAATATTCACGTTTGTTTTAAACAAATTGTTGCGAAGAGCGGAATAACAATAAAATATTATCGCCAGACAAAAATACTGGACGATGTATAATACCAAACACCAATTTTTCACTCAATTGTCTTGATTGAAATGAACTATTGACGTGGACATTTGACAGTACTATGTTTTTATTTTTTATTTTGTGTACTTGCTTATATTTTATTTGTTTTGACAATATAATGATAGGAGAACTAGGTACGTTACCTTTGACATACTTTCCATTTTGTATTTGCGTCTTTTTGGGAAAGCTTCAAACAGCTGTTACGTGTCATCAATAAATGAGATAGCAAGTTTTATGACGTCGACTTATCACAAAATGCAATTAAGCCTAAATCGGTAATAAAGTGGCAAACACATTTAGGTATAAAATCAACTGAGACTATGACCACGCCTCGACGGCATTCATATTGCGTAGTGTATCAATTTCGATGACAAATGTGTCACATGAGTTGAGGCAATTGTGACTCTTTGGTAACCATTTAACTTCATTTAAGACCACCTGAGCTATGAGGTTATTATTGATCAATAATTTTTAGCTAAGCTACGCTTTGAAAATGCATTATTTTCTTAGGTTTTTGCGACCTTGGACATAGTTAAAATTATACAATTCATCTCGCGTTTATCATTTATAATTTTTTATTTGAAGCATTTCAGATATCTTAATTATTCATTTGCTGATGATGATTGTCAAACACCAACTAATTTGTTTGGCAAGGATTTTAAAACTAAATGTAATTTACATTTTATGTGATACGCATTATTACGATACATGACAAGATGAATCCTTTAGACACAAAGCCTTTTAGTTAATAAAAAAAACGAATTATAAATAAATCTGATGAAATTTAATAATAACAGTTTTTTATGTCTTTTTTTCGTTGTAAGTAGATAAAGAGAGCTGGAGACCGTAATTTTATTATTTATTTCATTAAATTATTTCATTGCGCCACTGTCAACTAAATTTATTAAGCTCCACATCTAAATTCTTATATATTCTGTAATAGGTGCAAATCTACTTACCGACATTTCCAGATAAATGACCTCGATACTTTCTACTGAACAAAGATGTATAATTACGCGTTCTTGTTATAAATCTACAGTGTGCAACGGAATTACTGATAATTTTGAGTGTTATGCTCGTAAATGAAATGCTTCGAGTTATATAAACCGGAAACGTTCCTATTATACATACCGATATAATATGATATAGCTGAGAACAACGATACGCTCTATTGAAAACTTAACCCTTCTTTCTACACTAAAACTACTTTTTGTCTTCAAGTGTAACTTATATGTTATGGAAGCTGGACGCGCTTATTGTAAAGGAATTCTGTGTGTTCTAATGAAATTAGCCATCTACATCAGATAGTTTTATCAATAACTAGCTGGCCCGGCAAACGTTGTTTTGCCATATAAATTATTTCTAGGAAAGATAAATAACCTAGATACCGACTGCAGTGCCATCTGCCGGGCTGATTTGTAAATCTAAACCGAATCCACCTGAACGTACACAGAAAATTTCATGAAAATCGGTCCAGCCGTTTAGGAAGAGTTCAGTGACAAACACACGCACAGACGAAATATATAAATAAGGACTAGTAATTTCCTTTTTTTTATAAAAAATGCGGGTAGGCGACCCCTAGTTTTTCGAGCTGCTGCTACCACTTCCCTACTATCAATAGTAGTGACATCATTACCAATTTCTCTACGTTAACTTCGTGATCCCTAACGTTATATGATACTATTTACAATACTGTACATAAGCTGTTCGTAGCAATGTAGAGACGAAAAAGAAACACAGTCTTAACTACTGATTTTAGAGACTATATTGGCAGCACGCTCGGTCTTCCACCATTCTGTTTCTATTTCTATCAGGAACTAATTCTACGTTTCGGTTTGAAGGGTAGGGTAGCCGTTGTGCTAAAACACTGATTAGCAATTTTTTTTACAAGCAGCGTCATTAATTTTTGGTGTCCCAGGGACAGGGCGCTGAAACTGCGATACTTTAAGACATTATTTTTTTTCTATGGAAACTATTGACATCTTGTAGCCGATGCCCCTAAACTTATGTGTTGTTAAAGTTAAGACATTTAATTATTGTGTAACTAAACACATAAAAAAAATAGTAAATCATACAAGTCTTTATTTGTTATAGACAAATTCATTAAATTATATCAATTAGTGGTTTCTGAAAATTTACAAAATCCGTCATAAAAAATAAAATATAGGATAGGCAATTTGTTACTGCCATCAATAGGAGCAATGAGAAATTAATCGAAGCGAAGCCATCTAGTGGCCGACCCCCGTAAACATTTTTGTTGAGTGCTTGAGTTGCTTATCTATAACTAATTTATGTGTATTATATATGTATGGCTTAGTAACTGTTTCTGATTTTTTAATTGCCTTTTGTAGGTAGTCCTGTATACGGTCCACCTCATGGACTTCAGTAATGCTAGAGGCACAGTCAAGCCGTTTCCTATAATAAACAGACATTTTGAATTACAACTTCAATAAATGCATCTTATTTCATATTTATAAAAAATACGACAGGTAATTAATTTTATCTTATTGTTTGTGCAGGGTATCATTTGGCAGTTCAAAGGGGTCCATGGTGGAAACCCTGATCTACGAGAGTCCATTGCAGGAAGAGCCCGAGAGCAGTCCTCCGCCGAAGTTCCAGGAGACTTCGTTCCCATACACGCCCGTCGAAGACGAGTACGTTAAATTAATTTAATGAGTATGTTTTAATTCATTTTTAGTTTGTGCCTTCTCATTTCGCGAATTTGGCGCCTTTCCATATTGACGAATTTCCGTAAAAGAATTGTTTGAGATTTGCCAAAACAAGTCATTTCCTTAGAAATTATACTACATTCTATTTTTACAAACTAACTGTTTTAGCAATTTTAAAAGGAATATTACTCGAATATAATTATTATTCCAGCTAACATACCAATGAAACTGTATCTTATACCTTTAAACGAGCAATTCTTGTATATATATAATCTGAATCTCGGAAACTGCTCCAATGATTTTCATAAAATTTAGTATACAGGGGATTTCGGGGGCGATAAATCGATCTAGCTACGATTTATTTTCAGAAAATGTTGTTTTATTCGTGTTTTCAATAATCAACTCTTCCCGATATCTCATTGGCGAATAATAATACTATTTTTCTTAATTGAGGGCAACTAACTGCTTTAAAGACACAACAAGATGGCGTTATCAAAAAAAAAAACGAGCAAAACTCGGGCATCATCTAGTTATTGGTTAATTAAGCAAAACGAATTCTTTAATACATCTAAGGAAATATGTTTGATTTCGTTTCCAAGAAAAAATTAAATTATTTGTTAACAAAATTACTTTTTAATTTCTCACAATCAAAGCATTACGAAACAATAAAACTTCTTTGTAGTCGAATTCCCTCTTCTCTCAGATTTCTTTGTCATTATTGCTTTCGTGAAAATTTCCTTTACTTATAATTCGTAAAATGAGTAGGTAGGTATAGGTAAGTATATAAATGGAGGTACAAAAACGTGATCATTGTATTTAAAAAAAAAAAGGTTATTCGTATAATAATGTTTTAAGTAAGAATTATATGTAATAATAATATATAATAATAAAATGTATATGTAATAATTCGTAATGTTTTAAGAATTACAATCCTAACACAAAATCTAACGTTTCATGTTATTGTGGATATGGATATGGATGAGGATAGCTCAAAAACGACTGCTGGTCGTTTCTTCATTAAATTTCAATGGACAACATAGGAAACAACAACTTTCAAATAAAAAAAATAAATCATCAAACTCGATTCACCTAGAAGAAAGTTCTGAGGTTACACAAATGAAAAGCAGTGTAATTAAGAACCTCCTCTTTTTTTGAAGTTGATAGAAAATAAATGTAAATTGTACATATTATATAATACAACTTTTTGGCGGGAACGCGAAGAGTGAAGTTGTGTGATTAGTTTATTCTGTCTATTTTGTGTTTCTTCGGGTTTAAATTTGTAATAACGCTGGTTTTTTAACTGTTTAGTATCTGTGAAAGTGCACAAATGTGCGAGTGTGGGAAAGTGAAACAAAGCCGCTGAACGTAACTTCTCGGGCTCCTCCAAAAAGTCCACTAAAAAGTTTCAGTAAATAACCACCATTTTACTGAGATTATATTTCATCCCATATAATCTCATCTCATTTCATTTAATTTCATACCCATTGATTAAGTTGCCTTCGTTTTTTACGATTCATAAACTGTAAATAATTAAACCGGCGAATTATAAAAATCTTACTTGACGTTGGCTAATAATGCACAAACCGTGCTGGAACCAAAAACTAAAGAAGAAGAACCCATAATACTCGTATTACTTGTAAACACTAGGTTGCTACTTTAGATTTTAGTTGTCGTAGTCTTATTGGGCCTTTTTGCTGAAACGACCTTTTAGAGGTCAAGCATCTTTGAGCTTAAAAAATATTTTAATAATATTATGTATTTTAATAGGAGGTTTAAAAAACCAGCTTTGTCTTACTAATATACACAAATAATTGGACAGTTACTATGTACTTTCTGAGTAGTAATACTTCCTGCCTACCTACTTGTAGATGAGGTGGGCGTAATCTCAAATAATAATTACGTATCGTCTGGTTAATAGCTAATCAAATTAATTCAACAAATAAAATTCTCTGACTCCAGACCGTTTTCAAAATGAATTCAAATAAAATACATAACAGGTATGGGGTTTACCGCGATGTCAGTTGCTTTGACAGCGGTTTACTCTCTACACTAGATGTCGGGAACTTGACAAGTTTGCCAGATTGAAACTTTACCGATGGATAATATCAAATCGAATTACTCCCTCGCAGCCGTTATTTCATGTACAGTTTTTATTGAGTATGCTAGAATCGAAAAGGTCCAACCTATTTTTTGGGTGCTAGAATCGAAAATGTCCAAACTTTTTTTTGAGTGTGCTAGAATCGAAAAGGTCTAACCTAAAGTTTAGTTTTACCGAGGCCCATAGACAACCAATCGAGAATGTTACTTTGTACTGGACGTCCAGGTCCCAACATCATCCTTCAAACAGGCATGTAAGAATGCTTAGCGGCAGCGATGTACGGGATGACGTTAACAATTCGTAATGGCTAAATAGCATAATACTATATTTTAATAGGAGGTTTATTTAAGTGATATTTATCTACATCTGTATTGTATTCATAAATAATACAATTTTGCCGGTTGATTTTCTTTCACAACGAATTACCTACTCGTCAAACAATGGAATGGCTATCCTTGGAATTAAATTACTGATTCAGATTTTTTCTTGTGACGATATTTTAAATGACGCTACTAGCATAAAAATATTATTTCCATACATTTACAATATCGAATCGAAAGAGATATAGTGATATACTCGTATTATTGACATGTGTACGAAATTCTCTGTAAAATAAGCATTGAAATTATAATGTATATGAGTGAAAATTGTCGAACTGCATTGCGGGTCAAGCCAGAAGGTCAAGCGATCGATGAACGATCTTCTTGCATGAATGCCAAGTAATACTTTCATTATGAAGCCAAAACGACAAAGTCGAAGTCGCCGTGGCCTAAAGGATAAGACGGCCTGTTACTTGTATCGAGCAACAAAGCAAACCGGTGTTTGAATCCAGTAGGCAAGTTCCAATTTTTCCATATAACTTATACATTTAATTTTACGTTCCACGATGACTGAATAACATCATGTAATAAATATTAATCTACCACAAATTAAGCTCAGTGGTGTGGATTGGGAGAGGCCTATGTCCAGCAGTGGACGACTGTGGGCTGTTGATGAGGATGATGATGATGATACTACAAATTAAAATTTAAAAATTATACAAAAAAAGGTGAAAATGTTTTTATTTATTTATTTTTATTGCCTTTGTAGGCAGAACGAGCATACGGCCCACCTGATGGTAAGTGGTCACCGTCGCTCATGGAAGTCAGCAATGCCAGGGGCAGAGCTAAGCCGCTGCCTACTATAAAGTACTCTCCGCAAGCCTCGTTTGAAGAAGGACATGTCATAGCGCTCGGACAACAACGTGGAGGGGAGTTCATTCCAAAGCCGTATGGTACGTGGCAAAAAAGATCTTTGGAAACGCACTGTCGATGAACGCAGCGGTTCTAGATAATATGGATGAACTCTGCTCCGATGGCGGGAGGCGCGATGATAAAAAGGAGATGAGGGGATCATTTCGAATAATTCCTCAGCGCATTCCCCATGGACCATACGGTATAAAACACAGAGAAAACCGAAGTCCCTCCGTAGACCCAGAGGTTCCAAGCGATACGCGCGAGTAGGACTACCGACCATCCGAACAGCCCGTTTCTGTATGGAGTCAAATGGAAGTAGCTGGTATTTGGGAACCCCGGCCCAGAGGTGACAGCAGTACTCCACGCGAGGTCGGACCTGCGCTTTATAGAGCGCAAGTCTTTGTCCAGGCGTGAAATACCGTTTCGCTCTGTTGAGGACTCCCAACATTTTAGAGGCCAATTTGGCTTTGACCATTTGGCAAATGACTCCGAAACTGGACATCGGTCGAAATATCGACCCCCAGAATCCCAATACTCGCGGAAAGCTGCAGGGATACTCCTTGAAATTCCGGCGCCATGATAAAAGGGTCCTTCTTCGCAGTGAACGCGCAATCACCTAATTCAGAAGAATTTTAATGACAATCACACGTAAAATAATTATACATAATATTATTATAAAATATTTATACATAATAATATTATGTATACATAATAATTATACATAATATTATTATGTATAAATATTTTAAGGTGAATTTGAAGCTGTTCGTAAAATGTTTTTTTTTATGTTGGCGAGTGAGTCCGTAGATAGTAAGACTAGTTCATCTATTTTTTATTATTCAGGAAACAGTTGTGACTCGATTCATAAAACGTAAAATCTTTAGAATTAGCCCGTGAAAGCGTTGAAAATTAAGGACCATGGCACACCGGGCACACTACCTTCTAATTCGTTTGTATAGGACCGTTCAAATCTAGAATTCCATCGTGCACTTAGGTAGGTGCACTAAGATCGTCGATAGCCCACGGTAAGTAGCTATAAAGCCCTTTCAAAGTATTCATTTCCCCAACTGCTGAGCCACTATACCTACAAAAATGTAAAGCTTTCCGAAAACCCACACAATTCATAGTATACAATTACAATTGAGAGGAACACCCCTCTCGATAAGTAACCACATATCTACGTGTGAACGATCTCTTTACCACGACGCTATCACATATGGGGGATCTATACTATTAAGTCAACAAGCGGGATATACGTTGTTAAATTTAGTTCTAGTTGATAGAGTTTATATAAAAAACAAAAGTGCTGAAAAGAACCATGCATTTATCGATACTGTTATTTTTTTTAATCATAAGCCAGCAAACGAGCTATTTGACTTTTTGGAACTATCTATATTATATATAAAAATGAATGGCTGTTCGTTAGTATCGCTAAAACTCGAGAACGGCTCGACTGATTTGGCTAATTTTGGTCTTGAATTATTTGTGGACCAATGAAGTAGGAAACCTATGGAAATGAAACGTCAACCAAAATTTCGTGCCACTGTGACGTCATCTGGCCACAAAACATGGCGGCTTTAGTGCTGTACAAAAGATTTCAATGTTATCAGGTTTTATCGATAAACGTTCTTGGCTCATTTTATTTTAAATAT